CGTGAAGCATTCACCAACAGATTTCAGCCTTTCCTACCTATCACTGACTGGGCAGACTAGCGGATCGAAAGCTAAATAAATTGATTGTTCCTTGTGTCATGCCTTTTGTACGTCCTGGCAATTAGCACCACCCGGTTAAAACAAAAGTTATTGAAACAGGATTTGTTGAACTCCTCTGGCTTGAGTTTTGACCCAGGCACAAGTCAACTTCTGCGTTATTATACTACTTATCCGCCAAGCAGCAAAAATATCAGGTACTTTAACAAATAAGAGAGTGGTGTACGCCCGCAACGGCCAAGATGCATGGGCAAAACGTCAAGGTGGTCTGAGTCTGAGTCACAAATCTTACGGAGTATATATATAGCACGAACAGCTTCAAAAAAAAACGTTTCGAGAAGTTTACAAATTACAGACTTTATCGCAATGGAGAAGCATACAAAATCTGTAAGCGAAAATTTTTTGCCAAAAATAATAATTTAATTTTTTAGTACCCAAAACTCAGTTCTCCAAAGTTGCCAAGAGTCGAATTGAAACATCGTCTGCAAGCGAGGTTAGTATGCCGTATAAGTTGATTACCACGTGCTAATGTTCCATGTTCATCGCTGTTACAACCACACTTATTCTCCCTAGTATACCTGCATGTACGTTTAAATATCTCGGTTAAATATTTAGCAGCTTAAACTTATATTTAAGTTTCACGAAAAATATCGCAAAGGAGAAAAATGATGGAATTAATAGTATGCTTTTTAAAATTATTCTTAATGTAAAAATTTCTTTGCCTTCTCTACTGATGGCAATTTTAATACTTTCGATCATATTTGTAGTTGATGTTGGCTTTCATCCTGATTTCTAACTACCTACAATTCGGTTAAGGGTTTTTATGCCTTTTATCCGCCCTAGTTCAAGAGCAAGCCCCTTCGGGCGTCATTCAGTTCGATTCTATAAGGCTGACATTCTTAGACAGGTCTAGTAGTCGGACGGCCATAGTAGGCTATGCCATAGCGCTTACCGTAAACATCAACGTTCACAGTCATCGCTCGAAATAATGTGCAAAACCTATGCTAACTTTACGTAAACGAAGCTTGTTAGAAATTCAGTAAAACAAGCACCTTATTTCCGTCATTTATCAAGTGGTACATTGCTAATTGATTTGTTTTCACAGTGAGGTCATTTGCTGCCACTGCAATTCAGCGAATCTGGATTTGGAAACTTATCGCATAAAAAAACATTTCTACACAGTTATAACGGATATATCCGCCCTCTCCCAGTGAATAAACTTTAGCAAACCTGGAAATTTTCGCTAAAATGTATTTCACCCTTGCTAATCATTACAGATCCAATACTGCCGTCAAATGTCAAAGTACTTGATGCAATCTATGTTAGCCCTGACCAAAAAATCGATCAACGACTGATTTTTGACTCGGAGATTCGGGTGAGTCTTGGTGTGCAAAGGTGCTATGTGCTCTGTAAAATGAATTTCCTTGCTAGAAGATACGTGATTCTTAATTCTTTCAGAGCGTTTTCATCGTCGGTTCAATTGACCTTAAACCATCCCCGGACGTCCAGCTTCTGCTTGTTACTGCATGGAGTAAGTCAAAACGAACTTCTCTGTTTACAAGTATAACACCCAGAATGATAACGTCAGACTCGTGCTAAAGTTACTTTGTCTTCTCCTGGTGGGTCGAAAACATGCTTTAATGACTGAAATCCGTTCACCCAAACCCCCCAGGGGAATGACAGACTCACTGTCAGTTTAGTCAGCGGCGGATAAGCAAGCCTTAGTGCCCCAATTGGGTGAGCAACTAAATCGCCGCAAGACGACTTTGTCCACTGGAAAGAGGCCTTATCAAAGGCAGATCAGTCGTAAACACATACGTGCTAAAATACTCTTATAAACTAGAACTGATACGTAAGGCGCATCAAGCCGAGTTTTCTAAATGGCCTCAAAGAAACACGAAGGTTTCCCGAATCAGAGGTCAGGAAAAAGTGATTAATTTGAAGAAGCTTCTACTGTGAGAAATAGTTTTACGGAGAGGAATTACGTACGTTGCTAGGCGTCGTGTTCTCGTGAAGCTAGTGCAAAAACTTACACAACCAGGTAGTGAAGCCGAGCGGACGGTATGAGTCAGCGTTTGAGCTGACGGCTGCCCAGGTACTGACTCTGACTTTTAACTGTTCACTCCCATTTTAACCGAGAATAACCACAGCTTTGAAAAAAATTGACAAATTTGATTGGAATACTGAAGCAGTTTTGAAAAGAAAGCTCAGGGCTAGAATGCAGCATAGGAATGGCTGATTTTAAACTAGTTGACCATGTTAAAACTCGCACAAAATGGATCTTGAAACATGAAGAAGTAAAAAATACTTTTCTGATTTAACGTTAACTGTTAATACTTCAGAGTAATGGTGATTATCATGCCTGCTTTCTTGATCATTTTATTACTTCGGTAATGCTGGTATCCATCCAATGATCGGAAACACTTTTGAGTTTTAATTGGCGAGGATCGAGTATGTAAGTCCAATATTTGTGTTACTGTAAGGCATTGTCTGAGTTGATTTAGGTAGAAATGCTATGTTATGTAGAACTAAGTACTATCACACTTGACCCAGCCAAAGGTAAACAGAATTGTAAGGGTGTAGTCAACTTCTCCGCGGGAAACATCTGATTTCTTTGTAATTAAATTAATCACAGAAGTTGATTGTACAATGTATTTCTTTCTGGGAATTAAAGCACTCCTTTATTGCGGGAAAGGGCAGATTGCCTGGGTGCCTCAAAACTAAGTCAATCGATTTATCGATCTGACGCCGGCGTACATCGCCCTGCCCTGCCATCTTTGGACTGATAGCACTGGTGTTTGATCGCTCCCCCCATAACAGTTGATTGGCCGCTGCCTCTTATAGCAGTTGCTCGTCTTTCATTGACGCATTTTACCTCTGATGATGGACTCCAGAAAGAGCCCGAAAACTCAGACCAGTAAAATTATGATTTCGGTGATCGAAACGCCTTCTCCTTCTCTAGCTAAATTAATTGATTCTTGGAAGCTGTAAGAAAACGTACAAATTCTGAGAGTAATCTGAAAATGCCAAAATATTTCCCCCATAAATTTTCGTTTCTAGTACATAGATTACTCCAGTGCGATGACGAATTAATGAATAAATCAAGTGTTTTGACTGTTTTTACCCTCTTAAATTTATTTTGTGTCAACAGCATAAATCCATAATACACCGACATACAGATTTTAGAATATCGGAATTCGCACAATTTTTCGAAGTTTTCCAAAATAAATGTCTTACGTCCTATGATAGTTAGTCAACAACTTATCCGGCGCAAATTGTCCTTTAAAGAGAATGAAGCCCACCAGCTCGCTAGGCCGTATACAGTCAGCGACGAATCTTATGTACTGCTTACGAGAATTCTAGAATGCCTTTTTGATTAAGGATGGTTACTGAAGTGATGCCGTAATATATACAGGGTGTCCCAAAAATGTATATCCATTTAGAACAATTGTAAATTTGGCTTTTATTGTAATTTTATTATTCCAAAAATGTAAAACTATTTACAAGTATCATTTTATTGTTTTTTTCACTGCATGTTCTCAAACTGACGTCCATTTAATCCAGCCACTGCTGACAACGTGAGGCAATGGAATCGCACACACCATGAAACAATTCCATTCGTATTTGGGGGCATTCATGTTCAATGGCTTCTTTCTTTCTCAATTATATAAAATATTAGTCAAAATGCAGTGGAAAAGCAATTAAATGATACTTCTCAATACTTGTACATTTTTGAAATGATAAACTTATAATAAACATCAAGGTTACAATTGTTCAAAATGTGTATACATTTTTTGGGACAC